AATATTTTGCCATCCAAGCAGCCAAGCAGGGTGTGTCCTCAACGGTAGTTAAGTGAGGCGAGCAGTCCCAAACGGCAGTTAAGTTGGCGTAAGAAGAAGGGCTTAATTGCTTTGATCCCCGAGTTTCGAGGGCTTATATGCATCAATTACAGTCTAGGGGCTTAATAGCGATTCTGGGGTTGGTTCAGGGGCTTAACTTATGGTTTTGCCATTGAAAAACGAAACCCACACCACAGTAATTCCCCTTGAGATTCCTCGTTGCAACACCATCATGTATGCATATGCCTGCATGCTTCTTAAGTGTCCCTATTTGAACACTGTATAGACTTACGTCACGTGCATCTCGGAAACCTCATACAAATATATTTTCCATCCTTCGTAGCACTAGCACCTCTGCAAAGAATGAATGTCGCCACCAGCTAGATACTTCTCGTCCAGGTTGAACTGAAACTTTCCACGCAATTCTGTGGAAAAAAATGACAGGATTGTTAAAATTTTCACAACATGCAAACAAAAACTGACCTTTGGTAACCAGTGTATATATAGTTTCTAACTAAATGAATCAGTCTGCGTGTTGAAATGAGTTTAAACAGATTTATTGACAGTGCAGGTGACATCTTTCTCTATCTTTGAGTTTTATGTTTTGCAGTCCAATACCATTAGATGAAAGAGGGCTCTCAATATCAAGACGCACATCCACCATCCAATGGTAAGTGTTGTGTAGTTTAGTACAATTCAGACTGTTCAACACTTTTTCCATATACAATACACAAATTAAAATTGTTTAAGCTGATTTGCTACTGAAGAATATGGCTGGCCCTACTGAAATTTTTGTACAGTAAGACCCAGACAATTAAAATTAACAAAATGAATGTTGAAACAGGCACATTCAATGCCATGTGCCTAAAATTACGAGAGATGAAACCACACTATATATAACAGTCTATTTCGTTAAAGAAATTTGCAAGAGCATTCTTTTCACAATGACAAACTAATATTTGCACAACTGTCTATGTGGAGCCTATGAGAGAAACTGTAATAGTAGGTAATGGCCAAAGCTAGATGCACACAGTACTCCAGCTAACATTTTCTGAAATCATCATAATAGATATAACCACTTAACATTATCATGCGAAACAAGAAATAACCTTCAAAAATGTTCTCTACCCAAAGTGTGTCAACAAATAAAACAGAAAATAGGTCTGACCACGTAGAATTCTGTGCAACTAATTACTCCCTTGTTCGAAAATAACTGTTAGTTTTTTACTTTTTTCTCAAATAAAGAATTTGGTGACAATGTTTGTATTTATCTATAATACTCTCTAAAAAGAAATAAAAGATAAATGGAGCTTTTTTGTGATTGCATGAATAATTAAAGTGAATGGATAATGATAGGGTTACAGTAGGAAAAATAATATTTGTCTACCTTAAAAAAAATTAATTTGAGACAAATTCAAAGCAAAAAAATAACAGTTATTTTGGGACAGAAGGAGTAATTGAGGATTCCAACAAATGCCAAGCCTTTTCTTTTGGTACCCTTTTGTGCCATAAGAGATCCTAGAATGCAAGACCATACGAGTCTTAGTGGTTAATCCATATGAAGTGAAGTTGGGATCTATAATTATTGAATTTTATTGAACAAAAGATCAATACAGGCACATAAAACGCTACCTAGCTTGTCATTCTTATCCAGCTACCAACCATACTTCTAGAAGGCCAATACCAAGGACTACATGTTTACATACATGTTTCTAGCAACTAGGACTCAAGAACTTGTACAAGTAAATTAGCTACAGATGCCAAATCATTTTAAACAATTAAACAACACCAACGGACGTACAGATCTAGGGTCAGGGCAGTGGAAACACAAAAGGTGCAACATCTGTATATATATGACTACAAGTAAATGGTAAAATGGTAAAAAGGTCCATAAGTAGGTGCTAATATAGGTTCATGTGAAGTACAGTGGAAAATAATAAGTCATAGGGATATATATAAGTCTCTTATTGACAGGTCTCAATTATTGGTGTGCTTAGCCTGACGGTAAAATTAAACATAGGAGCAAGATGATTCAAAAAGAGTTGAATTGGTTAAAAGCTAGAAATTTGTATTCTCTAGCTAAGAAAAAGGGTCTCAAAATCAAGGGTTCAGAAGAGCAAATTGTGCCACTTTTAGTGTAATTAATGGAGAGAGATGATGTGGATGGGGCTGCTCGGTGCAAGTAATGAGGGCCTTTTATGTTTTGGTGGTGGAGTGAAGAATTGAATGTTGCTGCCAGGTTATCTTTCCAGGCTTAAGTTTTTCTCCACAGGTGAGTTTAAAGAGGCATGCAGGATTGTTCAAAGTGTTCAATTCGTTTGGATTGTGGAAATTTTTTGTATCAAGTTTGTTTGTTATAAACTTTTGATGTCTTGAGTCTTGTGTCCATTAGTAGCTGTGAGCATGTTTGTTTTGAACTCTTTCTTGCACTAGGTGAGTTTCTTTAGTAGCTGTTGTGTGATTGTGTTTTGAGTTTGATTTGAGAGAATGTGTGGTTAAGTTTGTTAGTTTGTTGATTGTTACAAGTTTTGTTGTGTTCAGGTTTAAGTACCTCTTGTACTCTGATTGAATAAATTATATTTTTGTGGATAAAAAAAAAAAGTCTCTTATTGACTATGGAAGAAAAGTCTAAAGACTGTATCCAATGTTATTAATTAATCAGAATAGTGAACAACTTGAGCCAATAAACACATGTCATCTTTATAAAAGATAAATAAATTAACAAACAAACAAATCTCCAGCAAATTAATTTTGAGAGAGGAACAAAAGAAACTATAGTAGAAGTAGGCAAAAAAAAAAAAAAAGTTTTAAAGAGACTATAGAAGTTATTACTAACCAAAATTTCTCCTCACCAAGTAAGCAATTAAGAATCTAAATATATATTTGCAGCCAACTTTGAGTTCCTTATATCTAATAAGGAAAATGATTAGTATATATTTAGTTCAACACACTTTCTAATACTTATCCCGACTTAATTATTAAATATAATATAAGTATATTTAATTTAGCCAATTCTTACATTTTGTATGCTTGACTATATCTTTAAGTTTAACTACTTTTAATTTCAAATCAAAAAATAATAATTTTTTAATGAGTTGTTCTGCAGTATATTAAATTAAAATATATATTAATCAATATCCATCTAATAAATGATAGAGTTGTTAAAGTTTTTCATCATCCTAGTTAGTATATTCTTTTATATGCTGAGTACTCAAAAGTATATTGTGTTCCTTTTGATTAGATTATTTACCCCATCTAGATAAAGGAGATATCTTCAGCACTCACCAATATAGATAAAGCACCCTTTGTTTCTAAGGGCTTCTTTACACATGTATTTTCCTCACAAGGTTATTTGTGTTTCATATGTTCTTAGGAAACTAGTTAATGAGCAGCACCCTTAAAATCAACATTAAAGATGAATTTCATGGTTGGTAATCTAACTTTATTAAAATCAACATTTTGGTCACTCAACTCATAATCCTAACAAAATGGTCACCTAACTTTTTAAGTTGTCTACCTATTAGTCACCCAGGGTTAAAATTAATGAAAAATGCAAAAGCCTGTTAAAATGGTTGGGCTAAATGCTGCGTAGGATCTCATATGGCACTTCTTGGCAAGAACTAAAAGGATGAAAGGAAATTGTAATCTAAATCTCTGAAATTTTGGCTAAATACTCTACATTTATTAGTCTCTCAAAAGTTTCTATGAATTTTGGGCATTCCTCAAAGAGCATCTTGCTTCCAAGTCTGCAACATTTTATCTTGAACCTAGAACATTTTGCCTAAATTCTCCTACTATCCTTCCAATTTCCTTTTACATATGTTTGGCTCCATTTCAAAATTGTTTCATATAGATGAGATATTCTTGTTTTTATATAAAAGAAACCAAAGAGTTATTAAAGGTTTTGCTACCTTGCATATATCTGACTAAAATTGATAATTAGAAGTAAAATGTATTCCTTCTAGATGTTGATGTATCTATTATTTCAAATTCATGCGTTTTTGTCTTTATTTGTAACCGTATATTAATCCATAGAATGGGTCTCACTTATGAGTATACCATTAATCCATTGGTTGGTCACCCACCTTTACTAAAATAAACATTTTCGTCACTCAACTCATAATTCTAACAAAATGGTCACCTAACTTTTTAAATTGTCCACCTATTACTCGCTCATGGGTAAAATTAATGAAAAACATGAAATGTAATTAAAATGGCTGGGTTAGATGCCATGTAGGATATGAACTTAAATCACCCAGTTGACATGACACTCCATGGTGGACCATATAATTATTATCAAAATTCCTCACTGAAAAATTGAATTAATCCAAGGTACACGGTCCTTTCCTTTTTCTGGAAATAATTATAAGCAGTCCTTTTTGCCATCTTAAACCAAATAATAGTTTGCTATCATCAATACTTATAAGTAGTCCCTTTCATCCTTCTCTTGATGAGTTGGCTCCTAAAACTATTCAAATTTTACACCAAAATTCACCGTGATTTTATATGGTAACAGCACTCTTGATCCAAAAGTACAAACACCTTATAAGGTACAAAATAAAAGTCATTCAACCTAATTACTATATATATGGGCCTGTAATCAATGACATTCAGATGATTATATATCACTTTCTCGACTAAATTCTAGCTAAGGTGCAATGTCATAGATGACCAAATTAAGTGGCAATAAACCCCTACTTCATCAAACGTTCAAAACAAATAAATCAATTAATGGTTATATTTGAGTTTCAGTACAAAAATTATGAATTAAAACCTGAAAGATAGATCTTGATAATTATATATTTTAGTGCAAAGCAATTAACCTAATATATGGTCCCTCCGTTCAACAATCTTGATTAGACTTTGAAAAAAAAATGTAGGTGAAAATTTAATATGACAAATGAATGCCAACTGAAATTTTTTTTTTTTTTTTGGATAGAGTGAATCACTAAACAAGTACAGCTACATTTAAGAAAAAGAAAATTTTAAATTGACATTTATTTACTACGTTGAATTTTTATCAAAACATTTTGTTTTAAAAATCAAAAAATAAAACTAGATTTTCTATTGCCTAACAAAGGGACTATAAGATTACATAAATTAATAATAAGAAAGAAAAAGCTTTTCAAGTTGCTAACCGATTATATTCCTCAATTAAAATCAACCATCAAGCCATTATTTGTTAAGCTTAACCAACATATATACTGATCACAAGCAGGCCCATACAGTCTGCAATTTCTTTTACCCGGTATGATAAGTCTCCAGCTTGTCTAACATAAACAAACCAAACTAGCTGCTAATTAACATAAAATTTTAAAAAACTATAATGGAGGAAATTGAGCTTACTTAAGCATCCATTCCATTCACTATTCAGCATGAGGAAATAGCGCATCCCCCCTTCCCAAATATGGGGGAAGGATTCCTTCCATGTTCACGGCACAAATTAAGATTCGCCACTGTCTTGGAAGCTGCAAAAGCGGAAGTCCTGGAACACCAGAATGATAATTCAAGAAATAAGTGCTTTCAAGAACAGAAATGAAGATAGATTGAAAAGATAGGCTAGGAAAAGAAGAGGGATATTCCAGACAAGGCAAATTTGTTCAAAGCACATGCACCTGATCTTACACCTCAGTCGTAATTACTTGAATAAATACCGTCCGCCAGTCCCACAAAAGCTGGAAGTCAAAGGCCCTTCGATTCCAAATCCAAAACATAGAAAGTGGAAAGAAAAACACAATCAAATAGGCTGCCCTTGGTTACACAGTGAAACCAAACACTAATAAAAAGTAAAAATGTCACCTTTTGAAGCATTTTCTTTGAAACCCATATTTTGGGTTGTAAAACACCCCAAATCCTGGATCACAGAAGCAAACCCTAACATGTTCTAGAAGAAGAGATCAAGAAAGCAAAGCAAATGGAAGGGAAAAAGGAAAGGGTTTTTGCAAGCCCCAAAATGCTGGTGAGGATATCCCCTTGAACGTGCACAGTGAGCACTGAGCAGACGTACCTTCAACTTGAAGAACCCACTTCGTGATCATCATCTTCAAAGAGGACCATCAAAAGTCACGCTTTCAAAGTAATATAAAATATTCTCAACAGAGTAAAAGAAAGGAAAAAACAGAAAAAGGTAGGAAATTTCTGAGTCAGTAATAAACACAAAAGGATGGGATACAGCTACAGACACCATAGGTTGAATTGGTGACGACGATCAATTAATTCATCCTCATCTAACCCAAAAAAAGAAACCTGCTCATGTTTCCCAAACTTAAAGACACCATACCTTCAAGTTCTTAACTTTGGATAAAACCCACATAAAATAGAATCAAATACTCGTTAAAATCTACTCTCTAGATGACCATTAAATCGTAATAAGAAGAGAAAAATATGCTGTTGGTGAGTGTATGAGAAAGCACGCTGCATATTCATTTGGAAATGAGACATGATGAAGAAGGTAGAAAAAACCGGGGCTGACAGAAGAGCGGTGAGCACGCACCAGAAAAGGGTATGCTCTTCATACAATTGCCTGCGTGTGCTCACTCTCTTCTGTCACCCTTTTTTCATTCCTTCCTTTGCCTACCTAGCAAAATCGAACCTGAACCATATACCCATCAACGCCTCACAGATCTAAAAACTAAACCAGAACTTTGAGTAGGTAGGACAATGGAATTAGGGTTTCTTTCAACACCCATATCAGCTTAACCTGAACCCGTATAAACCCTTATCTTGTTTTGCCTTGGACTCAGTTTCTCCTCTGTTTCTTTCCATCTTCGGTTTCCACCGGGCGTCGTAAATCTACCCCGAAAGTTGAAACCCGGTTAGCCGGCGATTAATGGCGACGAGAGGAGGAATCTCGGCGGCTCAGATGATGGGTTGATTTGATGAGGTTTATTTAGTGCGAGAAAAAATGGGTTGACTTTGGTCTTCAACATGGACGGAGGGAGAGAAAGGAGGAATAAGAATGAGATGGATGGATGTGGGGGCATGATTTGGCCACGTGTAGAACAGTGAATGGCTGATGGTCGGCGTGGATTTTGGGCCGTAGATATTGTCATCAAAAGGTAGGATGGTGGGTGGGCCAGTTGTCAGCGACGTGGGCTTTGTCTGGAAGTACGTGCGGTTAAATTAGAATTGCGTTAGATTAGGGAGACAAGATAATGACACGCCCCTCAAAAAATCTCCTGTGCTTAAATTAAAAATTACAGAGGTAAATAAGTAGTGCACCTTTTTATTTTATTTTTTGAAATGAAGAAAAATCAGGATTTTGATATTTAAATATTAAAAAAATAATAAATTAAAATATTTTTATCAAACATAAAAAATGTGCACTACTTATCAAAAATATTTTTGCTTTAATATATATCAAATTATTTGTTATTTTTTATCTTTTATGATAGACAAATATTTTTCTCATACACTAATCTTATCGTTATCCATTTTGGTATTTACTTTGATTATACTCCTTTATTCATTTTCAGTATAATTAATTTAACTTGTTAATTTTTTTAAATATAAATTTTAAATAAAAATTTAATAATTTATGTAAGTAATAATTAAAATTTTTATTTTTTGTGCAGTTCTTATTCTTTTTTTATTTTTATTTGATAAAAAAATTTCAATTATCATTTACAATATGTTAAATTTTCATTTAAAATTTATATTCAAAAAGTTTAAACGTCAAACTAAAATTATCACAAATAAATAGAGAGAGTATGTCTTATTACAAAATGTCTCTATCTATCTTTTATTTTTTTTTAATGGTAATATAAATAAATATATAAATTGTTTTTAAATTTTTAGTTTTAAAAAAATAAAAAAATAATTATTTTGGAATAAACTAAGTAGCAGAAAAGTGACCAATAAAAAAATTTGATTATTGTTTACTAATACAAATAGCGTCACTAGTAATTTAAGCTATTTAAGGAATTTAGATGAAGGTTTGTAAAGTAAATGGCCAGCTCATTTGTATAAAGATGCTTTCTCATCTTAATGACCGAAATTCAAATTCTCATTTCCTCTCTCATTTTTCTCTCTCATAAAAATTTCAATCAGTTAGTATGTCTCATAAAAAAAATTAATAATTTGAGTAGTATAATTGTATTGTACACATATATTTTAAGTAAAAAATTGAGAAATAATTACTTAAATGTCAAATTTATTTTTAAAAATTTTAATTATCAAAGTAATAATAATAATTTATGTAATATTACTTAAAATAAAACAAAAAAATTATTATACAATTTAAATTATATCAAAGCACATTACTAAAAACATCCTTTAAATAAAAACAACTCCTTTAATAATATAATATAAATTATAAAATAATATTAAAAAAATGCAAGCCAAGAAGAGAAAGGTTCTCTTTCGGGTGAAATTTTCCTAATTTTTGGGTTTATTTAGTATAGCAGTTAAAATTCAGAGGATGATGGATAACAAATAGTAGATAACGAATATTGAGTGGTGATTAGCGGATAAAAGATGGGGGATGATGGATGACAGATAGTAAAAAGTGAGTAACGGATAGTAAATAACAGATTCGATAGATATAACTATTT